CCCCCCCCCCCCCCCCTGGAGCCGTGTGAGACCCTTTTTTATTATGGATGGATGCACTTTATTTCACTTCTTTTGGACTGATGAACTGCAACACCCGCTGACTGCCATTGAACAGCCTGGAAGATCAAAGACTATTTTTAATATAACTCCGATTGGATTCATCTGAAAGAAGGAAGTCATATACACCTAGGATGGCTTAAGGGGGAGTAAATAATGGGCTAATTTTTTGGTGAACTATCCTTTTAAGTAAAATTTTAAGTACTAAAATGGGTAAAACAACTAATTAGTAAAACTACTAATTGAAATAAAAGTAAATTAAATATTAAAATTAAATATAAGACTTCAAACAAAAACAGTTGCCCTGACAACTAACTGGAATAAAATAAGTTTAAGCTGAAGTACTAAAATTACTAAAACTACAACTGAAATAAAAATAAACTATATATATGGTACAAAACTTAATATAACTTACTAAAACTTTGTAAATACCATAATAGCATGTCAAGAATACTAAAATAACACTGTTGCACACATCTCAGATCAAGTATGGCTCAAGAAAAGGATTTTACCCTTCATTTTTAGGACTGCATGTTCAGGTACATCTTTGCCATCTGTTTCTGCCTTTTTCTGAGTCCTCTGTATATATTCCTCATCTGTCGGACAGACTACCACTGCTTTACGCTGGAAACCGGCAAACAGGCACATTTTCCTTCTTTGGGCTGGTGCTGATACGTTAGTCTAAAGCGAGATATTTAAAGGTCAGTATTTTCAGCAGATTGTATAATAATGATCACGCACTGAAGATGTAACATGAAAAATAAATGTATTAAGAGCAAAGTTTAAAGACCGATTATATTATGCTTTGATTTTGATAAGTATTTATACACTAGAGATTATATTTAGTTACCTGGTCAAGTATGTAGTTGCGTTTTTTCCGTGCCGCGATCTCGATGAATTTCCCGAGGAAGAGGGGAGCACGCTGAGATATTGCTGAGAGCTTTGTGACATCTTTCATCTGTCGCTTCAAACTGGAAATCTGAATTTCAACATAAAAATAACACCGAATATGATGTTTATATTGTCTAAAAAATTCTCTGATGTCAGCACTCACCATCATCTTCTCTATGATTGTGTTTGTTCCAAGAATGTTGTATTTTCCAGGATTGGCTTTGGTGTGCTTTGTAACCCATTCGGTTTTTCCCGTTCCAGGCAGTCCAACCATGACAATGACCTATGAAGATTTATAGCAGATTTAGATGAGGCTTTTTAATTATCATGTCAATGTTTCAGGTATGAAACCAACCTCACAGTCTTCTTTGGTCTCCGGTCCCTTCGGTCCTCTGATACGAACACACACAGGGATCTGCTGCAGGAGCGTAAAGACGTCAGGTTGGGGGAAAAACGGGGTTTCGTGTTGGCCGAAGTTGAACTCAACCGCACAGTTGTGGCAGAGGACGTGAGGGAAGAACGGCTTTCCCTCCAACTCATCCTTACTGACTTTGAAAGCTATTCCCAGATCCTGTCCATTCTTGGAGTAGGAAATTTCCACTTCTTCACCATCAAAGTTCTGCCAAATAAACACAGCAACTATGATGTACTGCACTGTGGCCAAAAGTACACAGAAACACCACACTTGCTAAACATTTCATTCACAATGTTGAGAACTAAACATGTTTTTGAAACACTGAAATATTATACAAATATTCATATATAAAATCAAAATATTTATAATAGAGATTGAAATTGAACAAATTGAAATATTGTATAAATATATAACACTTTATTTCTTACTTCTCTCTCTCTCTCTCTCTCTATATATATATATATATATATATATTGAGGTTGGTATGATTTTTTAAATATTTTTTAAGATGCTTATGCTCACCAATGCTGCATTTATTTGATCAAAAATACAGTGAAAACGGTATTATTGTGAAATAATTTTAGAATTTAAAATAAATGTTTTCTATTTTTATATATTTAAAAATGAAATGTATTCCTGTGATGCAAAGCTGAATTTTCAGCATCATTCCTCCAGTCTTCAGTGTCGCATGATCCTTCAGAAATCATTCTAATATGCCAATTTGCTGCTCAAGAAACAGTTTTAATATTAATGTTGAAAACAGGTGTGCTTAATATTTTTGTGGAAACTGTGATATATGGACATATTTTTCAGGCTTCTTTGACAAATCTAAAATTCACAAGAACAGAATTTATCTAAAATATAAATCTTTTGTAACATTACAAATGTCTTTATTGACACTTTTGATCAATTTAATGCATCCATGTTGATTAAAATCTAATCATTTCTTAAAAATAAATAAAATCTTAATGACCCCATAATTGAACAATACGAATACATGGCACCACTTAGTGGTCAAGATTAGTAATTGCACAGAGATATAAAGGGGTCATATGATGCTTTTTTAAAGATCATTATTTTGTGTATTTGGTGTAACAGAATATGTTGACATGCTTTAATGTTCAAAAAACACATTATTTTTCAAATACTGTACATTATTGTAGGTCCTCTATGCCCCGCCTCTCTCAAACGCTTCGTTTTCTACAAAGTCCCTCCTTCCGACAAGCGCAGTCTGCTCTGATTGGCCAGCTGACCCAGTGCATTGTGATTGGCCGAACACCGCAAGCACTCGTCGGAAATGTAACGCCCCTTACTATAATCGCGAGCTTCATCTTTCAAAATAAATGTAAAGCCCAAAAGGGGAACAGAGTCCTGTGACAGACACAGTGATGAAGCTGGTATGTGTTTGCAGTACACAAGCCACGGTTAAGACAGCTGACTCCACTGTGATGTGTCTCGCTCTCTCTCTCTCTCTCGCGCACGCACGCACGCACACACACGATGCGCAAAACTCCGCATTTGACCAGTCAGTAGCAAATACTTAAACTAATAACAAAACAGTAGCTGATTCAGAAGTGCCAGATTGTCATAGCAAAGTCAGAATTGCCTCCTCTCCTAGGTTCACGAAACGGTCGTCCATAAAATGCATTGCTGTTCTGTTGTAAGTAATCTTAAAGATTCCTAAATGCATCTACTTCCGGAAGGCCAAATAAAGTGCTTTTGCTTTCGCCTAGAAACACACAGCGTCTCCCTGACATGCTGCTTCAACACTAACTGCGGTTACTGAAACCACGCCTTCTTTCTTTGCGTGCACATTTGGGCGGCATTATGCAAATATTTCCACATAGTGAGGTAGATATGTGGGGGCGTGTTAGAACGAGCCGTTTTAGCTAGGCGTGGCAGAGTCTTAACTTTGATAAAGAATATCTCTTTGGTTTTGAGACTTTAGTCTTTGCAACTTCAGGGATCTTATCTATGCACAATCAGCTTGTAACACTCCAAAGAGAAAGGAAAACTTGAAATCGCATCATATGACCCCTTTAAAGCTAATAGTGGATGAGAAATGAGAATGCGTATGGATACTTACAATAAAGCAACCGACAACATCGTTCTCATCAAAAGCCTCCCCAAAGTCCTCCGTCACACCGTTGCTGGTTTTCTTGGCCTTAGATGAAAAGCCATACGAGTGTGCTTCCTCCCCTGTAAATATATATAAGGCAAAGAAACGCTCAAATGACATTATGAATTTATTAGATCAACTCCAACAAATTCCTGCAAGAAATCAAAGACCCTCACCTAGCAGAAGAGAGCTACTGGCCAGTGACCAACCCACCAGAACGTCATGAATCTCAATTCCTTTACTGGAAATGTGTTTTACAGGAATCTTCTCGATAATCTGATGCAAAGATATGCAAAAACAAGGCTAAGGACATGACAGGACCATTATAAATAGTATAGATCAAGTTAAGGCAGTGCTCTTACCTTCATTTCGAAGCAAGCCTTGCCCTTTGCCACACCGTAAGACGCTCGTCCCCCGGCCCACAGGTAGGCAAAGCTCTCCATAGTGAGTGAGGAGGCGCTATACCGATCCCGAGACACCTTGAAGTGCAGGTCACAGTTGTCTGTGGAAAATAAGAGACGGACACTTTATTTCTGAAGCTTTATAGTGGCTGCAAATCCTGTTTGCAAAGGTTTAGATCAGGGGTAGGCAAGTTCTGTCCTAGAGAGCCGCAGTCCTGCAGAGTTCAGCTCCAACCCTGAAAAAAAAACTCACCTGCCTATAGCTTTAGTAATCCTGAAGACATTGATTAGCTTGTTCAGGTGTGTTTGATTAGGCTTGGAGCTGAACTCTGCAGGACTGCGGCTCTCTAGGACCGAAGTTGCCTACCCCTGGCTTAGAGGAACAAATGTTCTACTCTAAACTTTTTAATAACCTCACTGAATACTTTTTAGAAATAGAATCTGCATGTTACGCTATGCAGCATTTATTTAATTCAACCTATATCTGAGCAGTATTTGTGTGGGATCATCATACTTACAGGTGTCCAAACACACAGTTGTGTCATCAAACTCTTCGTCCTCTTCCTCCAGTGGAGGCTGGGGAGACTTTGCCCTGAGGGAACCATCAAAGAAACAACTATGAAATTCAATCAAATTCAGTTCAGAGCCATTAGAAGATCCCACTGAGCTCCCTTTGGATTTTAAATATGATCTAACTGAGTACATTTACAGGTGTGAAACATCTGTTAGACATTTAGCACATCACATTATATTAACTATTTTCTAATAAACTATTAAATAAAAACCTGAAGTATTTGTTTAAGAAAATGTGACCATAATTTAGGATATACACACATAGTACAATCTTAACCATGTACATGGTAATAAACTAGTTAATAAAGAATGAAAAATGTTTCAATTAGATTTCATTTGAAATATTTTAAAGGTAAAACATTTTTTCTGAAAGGTTGCGACTTATTTATTTATGTATTTATTTAACATTATTATTATTATTATTATTATTTCACACTGAAAATCTATTTTTTTGTCATAAAACTTCAAATTTTGCCAAATCTATCTATCTATCTATACACACACAGACAGTATATATATATATATATATATATATATATATATATATATATATATATATATATAAATATACACGGATAAACGGATAAAATGGTAATAAACTAGTTAATAAAGAATGAAAAATGTTTCAATTAGATTTCATTTGAAATATTTTAAAGGTAAAACATTTTTTCTGAAAGGTTGCGACTTATTTATTTATGTATTTATTTAACATTATTATTATTATTATTATTATTTCACACTGAAAATCTATTTTTTTGTCATAAAACTTCAAATTTTGCCAAATCTATCTATCTATCTATACACACACAGACAGTATATATATATATATATATATATATATATATATATATATATATATATATATATAAAATGGTGATATATATTATGTATGGTTATGTAAAATACCTGAGAAAAGACAACACATCGATAAATAAATGAAAACACATTTAAATTCAATTAACCATCATAAACATAAAACAATATTAATATGATACATACCAAAAATACACCAGATCACTTTAGTCAAAATTTCTAAAGGAAATACACCATACAAACATTATCAGATAGACATTTTCTTCCTTTAACAGCCCAAGATCTGACCTAGAAACATGATTCCTAAGGAAAAGATACCACTTGTTCTGAGATGACAGAGATACCCTTATTATAGGAATTTAAATCATTTAAAACGGTCAGTAAAAATGTGTGTTTCTTTGCAATGATGTGGAACAGCATGTCAGATTTGACTCTTTACTGCCAAAACTGGTCATAAATCTTTAAGGTGCAGCGGAACCTCAGGAGTACCAGAGGCCGACTGCACATTTCTTACCGGCTGTATTTGCTTTCTTCAATAAATTCAAAGTAGCCCCTTCCATGTTCATCTCGGCGCCTCTTTACACCCTTCTTATTCTTCTGTTCATCATTCTTGTCTTTGTCCGCATCCCCTTTGGAAATAAAACAATAAATCATAAGGAGGCGTACCTCCCTGCTGGACCCATCATGATGTAACATGATGGTCCTCATAATTACTGGAGGATTTCTAGTTATTTCGGTTGTGCATGAACTGCAATGACCAGTATTTTAAAAGAAAGGTGTATTTAATTATAAGTTCACATGTTTTCAATTAAGGAGCAATGCCTTACAGTGCAGTTTGCACACTGTAGTACTTATACAGGTACAAACAGGTGCTGCCAAGACATCTGCAAACTGTGCAATTTGGAGCTAAGTAACACACATTTTCAGATTCACATCGCATGCATCTTGATGAAAGGTGTTACAGTGTGTGCAAATATTGAAGGCACATTTGGTGAGGGGCAAAACTCACAGGCACCTCTTTCCCTACGAGTGCAACTTGTGCTTGACAGAACAAAAATGATTACAAAATGAAAATAAGGAATATGCAAACTGCAAAAATCACTCACAAATCCATCATTTTTGAAGTAAATATGAATGATAACTAACCTCTTATAGGAAATTATATTCAAATGAATGACAATGTTAATTTAAAGTTAACGGTTGCACTTCTAGGCTGGTAGTCCATTAAATACTAAGCTCAAACCTCTAACCCCACATTACCCCAAGGGGGAGAAAGCATCTGCTACATTAATGACTAAGAATAACTGTCACGAATTCGGTTCATGGACTTCCATTTATTCACCACCAGATGTCACCCTTTCCATTACATTGACTCTCGCACTACACAAACTGTTGCATAGCACCCCGGACTACATTTCCCATCATTCTTTGCACAATTTGCACACTGCCCTGATTGCACTCATTGCACACAGCTGTTTCTAATTACCTCATTCACTATATAACACCCACTCTAACCACCTTTCTCTGCTGAGTATTGTTTAGCCTGTACCCCTTTCTGAGTCTCCATGTTTTCCTTGTTTTGCCTTGCCTGTTTTTGCGGTTTTTGATCTTTGCCTGTTTTCTTGGATTTCTCCCTCTCATCTCGCCCCTGTGATTCTGTCTGCTTATCGGTGACCTACGCTAGCCCTGTGAGTATTCTTGTGTTTTGCCCGCCATATACCTGTTTGCCAGTGTTTTGACCCTGCCTGTTTACCACGTCTCTTAAATAAAGCCTGCAGATGGATCCACATGTCTCACGTCTTGTCAGCCCCGTTACAATAACAATGTCCTAACATGAGGACCTCACTAGGCTACTCCAGATCAGACGGAGTAAAACAAATGAACTGAGATCATTACGCACAGACTCCATCTGGAGCTTTTGTCCTTCGTATCTCCAGCATCCTGTTACAGCTCAGCGATCCTGAGAGCCTATGCTCAGCCAATGAAGACCAGCGTTCACTATTAAGGGTCATTCTCAGGTAACGGTCCTATTCGTGTCTGAAAATGTCAGGATTGTAAATTTGTACATTTGATTTGAATCAGTAACTTGTGAACTGAAAAGAAAAAGGTTTATGCAAATCACAACTACACCAGCTTTACATCTACATGCTTTAAAACTAGTAATGCTATATAGCTGACCATACATATAGAAGTAGATTTCTTCTTTTAATTTAAACTAACTTGCATATAGCCAATAAATATGTAAATATTATATTAAAGTTTGAGACACATATTGCAAATAAATTATTAGCGATGGATAAATAAATTACACTTGTTTGTTTACTGATTGATTGCATGACACACTTTATAAAGTTAAATCTATTAAAGTAAAAGGGACACACATAGTACACCAGTGGCACCATCTCCTGGGAATGGCATAAAATCATGTAGCATGATTCTATTGTTTAATTTGATATATGCCATCTACACAAGCTTTTCATCTGCATACCTAAAAACTAGAAATAGCATAGCTGACCATAAATACAGAAGTAGATTTTAATTTGTAGTCAATAAATCTCAAATTGAGAGACAAAAAAAATAATTAAATATGTTAAATACATTCACATAATTATTTTTTGTCTTTATTTTTGTCTTTTGCAAGTATTAAATCTGTTATATGACTATAATGCGAATTCATTTAGTTTTCTGTTAATTGCATGAGTATTAAGTCAAAGGAACACAAATGGGACACCAGCAGCACCAGCTCCGGATAAGGACATCAAATCCTGAATACTCTCGGCTGTCAGAATGCATTGTTCTGCCATCGCAGCCCAAATATAATTAAAATATGAATTGCACAAGCTTCCTCACCCTCGCCAGGGCCCATGTCGAGAGCCACATCATCCTCCTCAAATTTCTCCATCTCCTCCTCATCTTCTTTAAGCAGGACATCTTCATCTTCATCTGATTTATCCATTTCTACCCCGGCGTCCTCCTCCATGTCATCATCCTGCTGCTCCTCAGCCTCCGCGTTATCTCCATCCTCCTCCTCCTCCTCCTCAGCCTCCATACTCTCTCCAGCCAGATCTTCCTCGAGGTCTTCATCGCCTCCATCCTCGTACTGTCCCTCAGAGCCGTTGGTGGACAGCGCCTCCTGATCCAGAGCGGCCTGCAGCCGGGCCATCAGCTCAACCTTCAGCCCTTTATCGCACAGACTCCTCTTCTTCAGCTCGTCCTTTTGTGATCCGATTCGCTGACCGCTCGCTCCAATTTCATCATGGATTTAAACCGTAACAATAACATGAAATCAACAAGAAGATGTCAATCACGGAAACTAATAGCAGAGTTAGATAAGAATCTAGTCATATTGCAGTTTTCTCGATTGATTTTAGTTGCCACTTTTTCCCCCAAACTCATAATACAGTTTTCAAGACAAAGACACATTTCTCAAAAAGTTAAACAATTAAGCATAGCGTTAGTTCTGGCAGGTCACATTAGTCAAGCTCGCATCAGCTGACTCTCAGCTGATCCCCATCAACCTATGGGAATACGACACCTACCTAAGTATTCATATATAAGGTCCCGCAGTAATATCAGCAGTTTTCGCATTGCTCAATAGCTGATTACCCTCCTCCATCCCCAACTCCTCCTCTGTCAGTCAGGATTTAGCCTTCTGATTCTCCTTTGAATCAGACTAATTCTAAAATGTGTACATAACATTATTGAACTTTAACAATATCTGCAATACATTTATGTTGGTTCTGTTCTGTTTACCCTGGGGGGGTTATCGCTGCTCTCCCTGCTATCATCAATGCTAGGCTGCATGGATGTGCAGGGAGTTCTTTCCCAGAACGGAACCATACCGCCAATCCAAACTGTATGCTAATTGTCAATCATCTTTGACGATAGTGGTCCTGACCGAAATGAGTAGTTAAACATTAGGTAGCAAAACCGATGACACACCAATTAGAATCTCTGCATGCAAACAACGGAGATAGCTTGAGCTGAGCCAATCATCTAGAGGGGTTTTATACTTACACATACAGTATAATTACAGTACCAGTACATTAGATAATGATAATTTCACTATTCTACATGTACAGTAAACTGTAGCACACGTTGTACACCTTAAAGCGTGTGACTGTCCAATTTTATTTGTAACCATTTTATATGTGTACTGCATTTTTGCAGAACTGAGAAATTACTGCCTAGATATAGCTAGTCTTGTGTCAGGAGACCAAGGAACTGCTATAGAGTACTGTATACTGTAATGAAATTTGACCAAATGTGCAGATGATGCTAAATGTACTTTTTTTTTAAATTTTTTACTGTACTGTATTGTGGTGCATGCCAAGTTCATACAATTCTTTGGTATTTGAACTTTTCTAGTGCTTTTCATCTACTGCATGAATACTTTACAGTAGTAAAATGACAATAATGTTTTCCCAAAAGTTCATTGCTGAATTATGCATCTGTATCTGTAATTTAATTTATGTATACTGTAATAGACATTGAGCTGCAAAAATAATTCCTGAATCCTAGTAAG